AAGGGAAGTTGCACACCGGACACGGGAACAGAAACCGCAATGCAAAAACCCCCTTTCTTTCGGCAGGGTTATGGACAGGAGGGGGGGACCCCCCCTGCCCGCGCGCCAGTCGGCGCCCCCGACATGTGCGGGAGACAATGGAGAAAAAGCTCTCTCAACAAAGGCAATATTGCTTGGAGAGGCTCAAGACCTGCTAGCCCAAGGGAAATTGCACTCCGAACACGGAACAGAAACCGAAAGTAAACATCTACATGAAAGTAAAGGGTTGTCCCCTGCGAGCTGCAAAACCCCCTCTCTCTCTCTCTCTCTCTCTCTCTCTCTCTCCCTCCCTTCATCCCTCCGCTACATGACACGAGCCCAATGTATCCCCGAATGAACATGATGCATTATCGAATGCTGCGATGCCGAATTACATTGGCGCAAGACTGCTCGAGGACTGGCTTGGTCACACAAGGGAATGCTTGCCTGGGTTCGGAAACATACTTATATGGGTTGCTCCGGATTGCCGGCCGTCAAAACGAATGGGCAGACATCGAAATGCCTGATGGTTCGGTGAAGAGATGTGATGATCTTCGAGGTCCCACTGGTCACAAATGGGTCGGATACACATTGTTTCGTTTGTTCCTCTGGATCGCCCGACTGCGGGTGAAAATGCGGAACAAGAGACTGAAGAGGCACGAGTTGGCGCACCCGCCCTACGGGGACTGGTGTGAACACTGCGTGAAGTCGAAGGGTCGCAAAAATCATGCGACCAAGACTGACCGACAACCTGTGATTCAGATTAACTTCTCCTTCTTGTCGACGGAGAATGACCTCGCTCCATCTCCTTTCTATGACGAAAGGGGCGTTCCATTGTTGAGACGGCGGTCTCCTCTTCACAGCCCTCGCCTTGAAGACACCACTCAGTCACTCGCCTTCCCAAGGATAACCTCAGCGGCTTCAGTGTCCTTCCCAAGGTACACTCCAAAGAACCATTGAGATCCTCCTTTGGGAACCTTCACTTCGTGCTGTGCGGCAGTTTTGCATCAATCCACTCACCAAACATGCACAGTGATCTGCCGAAGTCACGGGGCCACCTTCGGTCGTAGGCGGTCTTACCGTCAGATCCAATCATGTATCAATGAAAATTGTGCATGTTTCACAGCCCGAGCGAAGTGGCGACTCCGACGTCAACTTCAACCCAGTCGACTCCTCAACTTGAGCCATTAGTGTTCTCATGGCAGTTGTCCATAGAGCGCTCTCTGGGCATTCCCAACACTTCGTTGGCTCTGGGAGTGTCCAGTCCGTGCTGCACGTATCAACAATCCTCCGACAGTCTTGCATACATCCATGGCAATCGACTTCAGAGACTTCTCTTTATCAGATTGAACAATCCCAAACGTTCTGCCAATCTCAAACGCAAATCTGCGCGATTTGGCTACGGAATATTTGTCAACTCTACCTTTCGCAGGCAGCACTGCAGCCATTGCACAGCCACTCTGCACATCAGCTGCATTCAAAATGGTCCTCTTCGGCAGATTCGACTGCGTTTGCAATGCCACCTGATCTTGGAGTGAAAGGTAGAACGAAACCTCCACCTGGATTGGAATGCGTCGATGCAGAAGATGAAGAGACCAGGACACGCTTGAAGACATGGCTCCTGCGCAGAGTGAAAGGTTCCTGCACAAGAACTTCTTGAAACTGACGGCACTGATCGTTCGCCGACTGCGGTTGACCACGAGACTCCGGAGGCTAGTGATGAAGCCCTCGGAAGAGTGCCAGGATTGATCCTGATGCTCCAGCAAGTGAGCCTTCAAACAAGGAAATGAAGATCGGTGCAGTTCATCACATGCTTGCAGGAGTGATTCCCGCTTGTAAATGGCTTGCTTCGATTGTTAGAGTTGATGAGGTCGTTGAAAAGGATGGTACGAGGATTGACGTCGAAGTGAATGCCGAGGAAGGAGAATTCGACCAAGCAATGCGACTCTCCGAGCCGCTGCTCTGGGAGAGCGAGTTCCCTCCTGAGGCAGAAAAGAAGGGAATGATTGAGGAGATGAACTCAATGAAGAACTTCAACGTGTATGACAGTATGATGAGGTAAGGATCAGGACTCCGCCCAAGAGCAAATAGATGAAGCACTTGACTGCAGATGGGTCTTGGTCTGGAAAGATGAGAATGAGCTAAGGTGCAGAGTGGTTGTACGTTTGTGTTTTCAGAATGTTGAAAAGAGTGAAGAGGACAACTTGATTGCGTCGACACCCTCGCTTGTCACAATCAGAGTGTTGGTTTGCATGGCAATGGCAGGAAACTGGGGCATCACCCTATAGGTGATGTCAGCACTGCCTTCCTGCATGCAGCAATGTCCGGTGAAGTGTTCGTTTGGCCGCCGATGGAATTTACCCAGAAGGCAAATGCCTCTGGAAACCGAAGAAAGCAACGTACGGTCTTCGACAAGCGCCAAGCGCCGAAACTGTGGCAGGAACATTTCGCCGAGGTAATGACCTCAAAATTGGGATCTCGGAGATGCAAGAGTGATCCGAATCTGTACTGTCATGAATCGTCATGACTCTGGCACACTGCATGTGCTTGCATATGTCGGTGATCTTTTGGTCGTAAGGACTGACGAAATGAGGAAGTCGTGCATGTCTCAACTGTCAAGAAGGAAGTGTTGCTTAAAGAGACTGGCCAATTAGTGCCAGGGACTGAGCACACCTTCCTTGGAAGCTACGACACAATGGAGACTCGATTGATGTGTGCATGTCGCACATGTACATTGATTCGCTGCTGGATCTGTCCATCTTGTAAGTTGGCTGATGGCAACTTTGTGGATTCTGACTGGGCTGGATGCTCAAAGATTCGGAAAAACAACAGCGGATCCACTGTGAATGTCCTCGGGTGCAACATGGTGAGCACTGCGCGGGCTCCAGGTACACCAGCCTAATCGTCGGGAGAAGCGGAGTTGTATGCGATTGGCCACGGAGTGTCTGAGGCACTGTTCCTTCGGACAATGTTGCTCGAAGCAAAGCTGGCGAAGAAAGTCAATGTGATTGCCCACACGGACTCGACTGCTGGTAAGAAAACGAAGCATGTGGAACTGCGGTTGTCTTCGCTGGGACTCAATGTCGCCCAGAATGACCCGAAGGCAATGATGGTGGAGACGGGGTGGTTTGCAACAACAAAGGCCGAACGAATGCTCCTCTCTTCACGGAAGGAAAGTGGCGCATCGAATGGAAGGTCCCTGCCTATGCGAAGGGGAACCTGACTTACAGCCTGGTCAGAATTGTATGACTGGATGTGGTTTTTCTATGGCGTTGGGCTCTTTGAGAATGGCTTTCTGGATTAGCTGAATGGAGGCTTCAATGCCCTAAGTGCCGTGAGGAAGACTGTCCAATTATTTCAATCGCCGGTTCACTGATCAAGTTTGGACCATGCAGGCGAATGATCAGAATGCCAACAACTGGGTGTGGACGATGTCGCCTAAATGGATTGCCAGCCTGGGCATAATGCGAGTCCTCGCCCAAGGTCCTACTGTGCCTGAATGAAGCCATCCAATGGGGCCTCCGAGCCACACTGCCCGGCACAAGGACCTGATGGGTCACACCTATGCTGTCACTGGTGCAACGCAATGGCGGTGGACTGGAGCATGACTGTTCCACTTGGGATGAGCTGTATCTAAATGATGACGGCGAGAAGGCGAATGATCCGATTGCTTGGAATGGGCAGCGACTGCTATCGCCCAGGTCGCTCATCCCCTGCAGCCCGGCGCGCAGATTGTCCTTCGCATGAATGCCAAAGGCATGAAGTGCGGCCACGAATGAGCCTGGAGTGAATTTGGAAATGCTGTAGCAAAGGCCGCATATTTTGCAATGTGAAGTCTTTGTTGGATTGCAGAGGCTGAAGTTCTCGGATCCAATGATGTATGGATCAATGCCCAACTGCCTGCGAATGCTTTGCACAGTGGATTAGCCCTCCACTTTTGCAATGACTCGAATGGCGACCGAGTCGAGCCAAAACATCCGGAATGAGACCCATGGCCTGTGGCAACGTTGTTTGTGAATGTTTCCTGATCGCTTCGCGAATGATGCCGTGTAGTTGTGTAATGGTTAAGTCTTTGAATGATCCTCGACTGAAGTCAGGATCAAGGGACAATGTACCCCCGAATGGACATGATGCTTTATCGAATCCTACGATGCCGAATGACATTGGCTCAAAACTGCTCAAGGACTGGCTTGGTCGCACAAAGGAATGCTTGCCTTACTGATATGGGTGGCTCTGGGTTGTTTATATTGTATAGTGGAGTTTTGCACTCTCTCTTTCTAACTTTTTGCGAGCGAAAGCTATGGAGAGACGCTTGCAGACCAACTACCTAAGAGAAACAAACCGCCGGGCCTGGCATTGCCCCGTATTGGGGTTTGTTCGGCTTTCCCCCGGCTGTCACTCCGGGCTCAAGGTCGTGTCCCCGAAAAACCATTGCTCCCGGGGCTGACTCTCTCTGAAAGGAAAAGAGTGTGAGTAAGGTGAGTCTCTTTCTTCCTCGCTTGCTCGGGGTCTGAACCCCGAAGGGGCTCCGGCCCGAAGGTGAGTCTCTGTTTTCTTTCTTTCGCAAGGGCTAGGGTGGTGGAGGGAGAACCCCACCACCGCGCGCGTTAAGCGCCCCCGACTGTCGGGGTGACGTAGAGTTGGAAAAAGGTGAGTCTCTCTTCTTCCCCAGGGCATGAGGGGTCTGTCAAACCCCCCGGCCAATAGGCCCCCCACAATTTGTGTGAGGCTTTAGGGGGATGTGAGAAAGTTGATTGTCAAACGAGGCATTTATTCTAAAGGACTTTGTGTCCCCCGTGTCTTTGGGACACCTTGTTTTCCCAACGTCTACCACGGGTAGAGGACAGCCAGTAAAACTCAACACAAAAAACTAGGTTCCCCGTAGGCAGACGTAGTATGAGCGAATGTCGACGGTACAGTGTGACTCGATGTCGGCAAACCCAGAGTACGAGTAACAGCCACTGCAACATTGGCCAAAATCATCACCTCTCTCTCGCTTTTTCTCTCTCTCTCTCTCTCTCTTCTTCTTCTTCCTTCGGGTTCTCTCTTCTCTTTCTCTCTCCACCCGCTCGGCTGCATAAGTCTATACCTTTGCCGAGAAGCTTAAACGCTCGAGACAGCTGTGGGCAGTGGCCACACATGACATCTGAAAGACCATCCAGCTGAGACATTGAGAACGACGCCAACCTGTCAATTTCAACTCGGTAAGGGCGCACGTATCCATAAACGTCTCCATCAAGTGATGACCGGCCATTGCCAGCAACTTCTTTGCATATCTTTGCATTCGTGCAAGACACGTCTGTGGATCCCATATCTGGGCAAGTGCTGCGACGGTCTGTCGTCTTTCCGACGGTCGAGCTGGAGCCTGTCCGGGCCATGTAAGATGTTCACTAGAAAAATCTGTACCTTGATCTTTCCTATTTCGGGCCTCGCCGCAATCAATTTCCCTATGTCCTCTGGGCTGTGCTGACGCCATCCTGTCAGTTGCCAGCACATAACATCCCCGGCAATAGAAGGCAATAGGGACGTACGGTCCTGCGCCAAGGCGGCGAGGCAAACGGCAGCAGAAGAAAGAGGACGATTCTCGGCATGTCCGTGAACCTTCACACCATGTGAAATTGCACTCTCGCATGCGTGCCATGGCAACTTATGCTGTGCCCAAGTCGCGCATCACAGTTGCAGAAGACGTCTGCTCCACATGCAGCATTGATTGATGAGCTGAACGGGAGGACTCCAAGCACGGATTGTTCAAGTGGTGACTAAACCGTGGTGTGGCACTGCGCCATGACTGTTGCTGCATGGTCATCCTTCGTTGATCTCTGCATGGGTAATTCAATCACCGCCCATGAACGGCTCTGCTCCAAAATCATGCCATGTCAGCTGAATGCGGCGCTTCAAGCTGCAGCAGTAATGCAAATTATCTCTGCTTCTGGTTTGCGGTGTTGAGCAGTCAGGCTTCCACAAACTTTCTCAATCATGGCGCAGCTGTTCAAATTTGAAATATGCTAATGACCACAGGACAAGCGATACTCGGCAGCAGTTGCACGAAACAAACATCTGCAGGCACTTCCGGACAAACAACACCAAAACACACACACACACACAACAGTCGTGCGAAGGCAAACGCCGATGAATTTGACAGTAGAAGCGTAAAGGATTGATAAGATGATGTGGTGCTTACGTGGCGTTCCCCGAGTATGGATGCCTGTCGATGTGTAACAACCAAGGTCATACGAGATAGCCCCGAACAGTCGAGCTCCTTCGTCGTTTTGAAGGGCTGCACAACACTGTCGTGGGCACCAGCAGTCGAAAGAGACATCAAGGTCCTTGCTAGAAACAGGCGCAGTCTCGTAACTAGTATCCGCCTACGTCCTTTACTCCTTTTTGGTACGATCCCTGATCCCTAACGCTTTGGCGAGAATCGGACGCCCCGCAGGGCAAGACGCATGTCCAATGCGCTCCCATGTACTGCTGGGACTGCACTCTGCTTGTCGCAGTGTCGCAGGTGTCATCAATGGCTGTTTGCTACGGAGTCAGGTAGCAGTTGTTCGAACGAGGGCCTTCTTGCAAGCACTGCACGCGCTGTCTACCTTTGCCCATGAATGGGGTCATTTGAAAGGCTGCCGCAAATCTACGCGATGTTGCGAAGTGGTCGCGCAAGACTTCACAAGGGGAGCCAAGGAGCGTGTCAAAGCCGCGGCCGTGTCACGACTGGGTGTGCGTCGCGCTGCTGCGGCTTCTTTGATGTTTGTGTAGACTATGTGAAAACCAGGCAGATGATCGGCAGATGGTCATGAGCCGGTCTGCAAACAAAACTGTCGTAGGCTGAATTTGGTGCTTCAGACCGCAGCTGCTTCGTCTGTGAAGGCTTTGTCCCATCATTGCTTGCAGATCGCACCGCAGGTTCGTTATACTGCATGCAGACTCACACAACTGGCGTGCCAATATTTGGCGCCGGTTCGCACTAAGCTAAGCGGTCACAGTGATTGGTGAAACAGTGGTTGGGGCACTTCAGCTCGTCTGGGAGAAGGGGCCATTTGGAATGTCTGCTCTTCGTCTGATCTCTTCCAGCGTCCAATCCTTCAGGAGCACTCCATCGCGAAACACCTCGACGAGAAGATCCTGGCCACAAGAGATGGTACAGTAATTTCAGAGAACAAGCAAACTTGGTTTGGACAGCTTGACCTTATCTTCAGTTTTCACAGTCCTTTTCCGGATCGCCTCTGCCACTAGCCACAGTGACGTACTGTCCGTTCGCCGTGTAGTGGAGGAAACCCTCTCCACCTGGTGTCCCGTTCTCGTCCTGTCGTGGCTTGTAGACGTCCTGACAAAAGGATCTGGACTCATCGTTTAACACGAATCCGCAGCTCCCCCGCACCTCTTCGCTGTTTTTCACGGTGTCTGCTGCGCGTTGCACGGTCAGACGGCCCTTCTTCGAAGCTTTGCCCTTGTCCGTAATCGGGTCCTGGCGAGTATTTACAAGCATAGTAATATAGGCTGCCGGATCCAGTTCTCGGACACAGCACCCGCCTTGAAGACCACTCGAGCGACGCCGTTCACCGTAATCTCCGAGCACTTGAAAGCGCACTTGAAGGTGTCCCGATTCAGCTTCTGCAAAAGTGCTCCACCACTGCCAAAGACCATATTGTCCGCAGCATAGCCAGCATCTTTCAGTGTGCCGAGAATCTTTGGTATGGATTCGTAGTCCATGCCATCACCTCGGGATGCGGTGTCGGGACCACAAATCTTGAGCCAACAATCGGGCTCAGAGATCAAATGCTGCAAGCGGCCTGCCTTGAATCACGCGGATGTAGGCTGGTAGCAGCTTGTGGCCAGTCGTGGTGACAGTGACATCCTCCTTGAATTGCTCGCAGAGTATGGAAAGAATTTGCACGCATGTCTCAGTGGGGTCACCGCTGTCAGGCCGCACCACCAGTCGACCCCAACTATCCCCAGAGATGCGCCCCTTGATCAGATCCTTTAAGCTGGATCCCCAGTATTCACGACATGCTTTGAAGACGTCGAAAGAGTCGCTCACGCAAGCCACAATGCCTGTCGGATATTTCTCGAGCATATTCTTCATGGCATCAACTTCGCCCTCAAGGCCCCATGAGGTGATTGTGGAGTGTTCAGAGGCAGGAATGGAATTGCCTGCGGCCTGCTTGGAGTGGTAGTACTTCTTGGTGCAGAGAAGAGCCGCCACAGTGTCCGTGCCAAGGAAATTCACCAAGTGAGCTGCGCCCCCAAGCGCTGCAGATTCCACGGAAGACACGCCCCGGAAGCCAAAGTCGTGCAGCTTGAAGACAGAGCCTCCAGGAATGGCCCAGAAGTCATTTCCAGTCGCTTCGAGCGACTCGTGAATTGACAGCTTCTGGTATCGGCTGTTGCTGCAAACCGTCATTGGGTACCAAACCTGCACCAGCAGCGTTTCGAGGAAGTTGGTCAACCAGAAACACTTTGGGTCTGTGTTGACCATAGTGAAAAGAGCTGTGCGAGTGGGCATGACCATGCCTTCGGGGATGGCTTTGATTGATATCGGCAGCTTTCCACCATGTTTCTCCAGAATGTACTCAAAGCCCTCCTTGTAGAAGAGCCCTTCGCCGTTGAAGTGCTCGGAGCAAAGAGCTTCAGCTTCATCGATCTTTTCCCGCGAGATTACTGCACCAAGAAGGTAGCGTTTCAAGAAGTATTGCAAGCCAAAAAAGACAACCTCGTCCCACCCGCGATCACAACCGCGGCTCTCGAAGTAGCTGTACCTTGCTAACTTCTCCACTACTGGTGAAGGAGGGGTCACCATGGTTCGTTGTGCAGGGAGCAAAAGCACGCATTTCTGAAGCTTCCAAGTGGCACGTACTCTGTTCCCGGTGGATACTGCTTCCAGTGGCTGAACTTGTAGCTGTCAGTGGCCAAGATGATGTTGTCCTTCCAGCCGACACACTGGAGCTTGCCAGACTTCGCGGACAGCCAGGCCATGAACTCTGAGATCTTGATCTTGCCATCGCTTTGCGAAGTATCCAAGACAGTGTCCGCATCTATGGCATTCATGCCGATCTTCACCAACACCTGCTTCAAACGGTCCAGCTCTACAGTGCCATCCGATCCGAGCTGATTCAAACTCTCCTCGGCAGTTTGACATGACAAGACGGCTTTCAGGCTTAACTTACAGAAACTTTCAGGCAGGACGAGGTGTGCCTCGATTTGCTGGAGAGACATGACAGTCTCACACGTACCATCGCCAGCCTCTACGTGCTTTTCGAGAGCCTAATGGCTGAAAGAGCCAAGCAAGCACAATAGAGAAGGTCTTCACTGCTTGCACTTCAAGTGGTCATGATCATCCGAAAGGCTCGAGCGTCAAGAAAAGGATAGGCACCACTCCGTCAGGAGTTTGCTGACCGCTCATTTCTCGAATTTCAATTCTCCGTTCCATCCTTGCAATCTCTGTACAACGAATCCAGGGGAAGTTGTGGACTGTGCCCACTGGAAGCCAGATTCAGAGACTCTCGGATTCAGAGACTCTCCTTTCCACACAGTCCTTCCCATCGAGTCTCATCTGCTGCAACGAAGCCTTAAGCCAGCAGTGGGTACAGCTCCAGCTTCTTGTGCTGTCGATGGCCTTCTGTGCTCTCATCGAAGATCGTTTCAGCAGACCGTACGAACAGAATGCCCAACGCGAAGGACAAGAGAAGCTGGATGTCTTCCTGGACTGCTCCGTGCCAATAATCAGCTGGAGCCTCTGCACTGATGCCGCCCTCACTGGCAGCCGCCAGAGTTGCTGCAACCAGCACGACCAACATGAAGATAGAACGTGACATTCCGAAAGGATGCAGGCCTGATGTAGAACGTAAATAATTACCTTTCGGCTTGAGTGCAAACGGCAGCAGCAAACATCACACGACACGATCGCAAGCAAAGCTAAATTTCTGCCACTTCTCCAACCTCAAAACTGCAAAGTCCAAGAGTCTGTTCTTTCTCACTGCTAGGCTTGCGCACCTTTCTCTCTGAACATTGTGTGGCCCAGTCTTGCCGCCTTGCTGTCGACGAGCCACCTACGCCAGCAGTGGGTACAGTTCCAGCTTCTTGTGCTGTCGATGGCCTTCTGTGCTCTCATCGAAGATCGTTTCAGCAGACCGTACGAAGAGAAT